ATTTCTCTCAATTATTGAATCGAAGGTCTGAATTTTTGCATATAGTTTATGAATTTAGTTGACTATATACTGTAAATAATAACTTTTAAGTTATATCCCTGAAGTTTAGTCACAATTTCGATTATTTTAAAAAACGAGAAATGATTTGTGTACAAAGGGTGTTACACAATGAACCATGCTATTTTTAATAAACTACATGTTTTATACTGCGAATTGTTGGGATTATTTTAGTTTTGATATATTTTAAAATGTTTATTTATAAAATAGATAATAATAAGGTGGTGAGGATTCACAAGGCCGACCACTACGTTTTTCTTTCGTTTTGAGTGAAAACACGTCAAATGATTATATTTTTATTGAGATATTAGGTGGGGGGGTGGGGCTATATTCTAAATAATTATTAGAATGAATTATTATTTTGAAGGTTATCGTAAAAAAAGTTATGTGGTCTACAATATACGATTCATTGTTCACTACGTCAAAATGATTCATTGTAGACCTAATCTATTCCATGATAATCTCCTAAATAATGTGATAAACAATGTGATAAAATAATATAACGGAAAAAGTTGCTTACAGGATAATAGCCAAATGTGCACACAAAACTATTGAAGAAAATGATAGGTATAACAACAAAAACATAAAAAATGCGTAAAACTTACGAAAAAACTTACTTTGCAACCCAAAATTCTTAAAATGTGACATTACATGGCCGTCCTTGACGCAATCTGCCAATCGACTAGGGAGCTGAGGAGGGGTTCAAATGTGAGTCACTGCATGATAGTAGTACAATCTAATAATGTCACATTTACGAAATATTGCAATGGTTCATAATGTACTACTGGTTCACTGTTGGACTATTTACCCTATATAACGGAAAAATTTCGGTTTTTTCTGAAAAATACATTTTTTTGAAAAAATTGCTGTTTTTGCTATATAAATGACATAAGTAATAAACTTAACTTTTAATGTCCTTCATAAAATTAATATAATTCATGAAATTATGTAATTTTATTTTTATTAAAATTTTTAGTTATCTTTCTATTTTTATAGTAAAACCTAATCTAATCTTCCTTTTATACATGCCTTAAGTAGACGATTGCACATTGTACTGCACAAGTGATTATTATGGTGCGGCATGGTACCTCTCGCAGTCAGGAATAAAAAACAGAATTTAAATTTATTTGTATTGCCCTTAAAATGTTTGTACTTAAAACGAAAGAGTGAAAAGAGTAATCTAAGCGATTAAAAAACAATATATATTTATAAAGATGTAGTCATTAACTTTTAAAACTGCGAGTAAGGATAAGTTTTTAAAAAATTCTGTAATTTTTTTTATTCTAAAGACTTTATGTGATTTGTTCTAATTTACTCGTTGGTGCAATAGTTATGTTGTATACCATATGTTTGAGAAGATTTATAGAATATATTATTCAACTTCGATCTTTAATATAATTTCAAAATATCTGTTAACTTATACAAATTATCCCGTTGTCGGCTGTATTCTATAGACAATTATTTTCTGGAAAGAACCGAGAAACAAATATGGCAGGTTTTACAAACATGTGAATTTTTCCAATGAAATTTTTGACCCCGGAAAAAACCGAAAAAATCCGCAGAAAAATTGGAAAAATTTGGTTTTTTCCGATCCTTTAAAATATATATTCCTGTAATATATATATACATGGAAGTAATAGTTCCTATTATTAATTTTTAGCCATCAAAGCATTAGAATGAAAATCTTTTAAGAACAAAGCAAATATTATTTCTTTTTAAATATACACAATTATTAATTCGTTTATATTCGTGTCAAAGTATATAAATATCAATACTATTCTAAAAGTTAGGAACAAAATATTGTTCACACTCTTTGAAAATTTATATTTATTTTGATATCATTTTGTGTTTTATTTTATTTTATGTAATGTGTTTATTATTGCAAATATTAATAATTAACAATTCTTGAACCAATAATTCCAAATCGGACTGAAAAAAATGTTTTTACATTTTCCATTATAGTTCAATACAGGTAACATCAAAATGGTTTTGAAGTAAAAATGAAGGGAATTAAATGATCTTTCCAACGGCACCTTCGATTTTACGATCGGATTTTATTTACGCTTTATAAAGAGCAAAAACTGCAAATAGGTCCGATTTATCCCACTCTCCCCTATGCCTTTCTCGATTGCCTTTTCTGTCATAAAATGTGGGCAGAACGATGCGTGGCTGACCTTCACCAAGGACTGTTCTGAATAAGTGTTAAAGTTGCGTGTGCGCGAGTTTTGTAATACATATATATATTATGATATTATATAAGGTAATAAATAACAAAATTTTTTTTGTAAATTTTTATGACGTAAATAGAAATGCATTTACGTGTATAAAAATATTATTTCTTGATTTTGTGTAAATTCCGCGGCCACTTTGAAAATTTATGCAAATCTTATGCAACAGGCATAATTGCAAAAATATATATATGCTTTATCTCGAAATAATCTGAGGTATTTTATATGAATGTTTATTCACATTCTTGTATTTGCCTCGGTCTCAATTACATATTTGCATTCTTACTTTGGTTTGTTTTTTAAAAATATTTTTATAATATATAATTCGGTACTCGAAAATGCTTGGTTAAAATAGAAATAAAATTTTAAACTTAATGCAAATAAATATCTTTCCATATTAGAAAGAGAGAACAGGAAAAAGGAAAATAGGGAAGAAGACAGAACGAAAGAGCAAAGTGTGGTTGCTCAATCATCTTCGGCTAAAATGACGTTTGTATTTCGAAAGAAACAGGTCAGTAAGAGGTAATCTGTGACAGAAATGACAGGTATTAATTATATCAATGTAAAAATGTTCTCTTATAATTTAATATTTCATTTTATGCTTAAGTATGTTATGATTAAAGTTTCACGGAAATTTTGTTCCATAAGACGTTTATGTAATAATTAAAATTTATTAAAGGATAAATATATTTTTAATTAAAAGTGTGTGTATATATGAAAGAAATTTTATAATAATTTTCTATAAAAATTTTACAAAAAATGTTTTACAAAATTGAATATATTATAAAGGCTAATATACATATATATAAATATAAAAATAAAATTATATTTGTAGTGTAAACATTTCTTATAATTTGTTAATAAAAAAAATAGAACACATTTTAAATTTTATACAAAGATAAAAGTATTAAAATTAAAAAAAAATATAATTCAAATTAAAAGCCTAGAATTATTTAAAAAAATGTTATAACGTGTAAATTTCAATTTTGTGAAAACGCTTTCAAGGTACGATACAATTGTTTATTAGATTTCCAGTTTTAACATTTTAATACTATAATATTTTCAACAAGTCATTTATAAGCAAAGATCTTCGGGCATTGGTCGATTTATCTAAACCTAGTATTCACTTTTTCTATTTTGTAATCAAGGTGAATTACTAACATAAGGCCATGAAAAATAAGAGCATGTATTGCTGAAATTTTGTGTAGCAATTTCACAGACAGATACTGTTGCAATATACTTTACTCTTTATTTCATTACGCTTAAGGACATTATTTCTCACGTTTCTCGCTTAAAAACAGACCGAGAGAGTGTGAAAGGCGAATATATTTAAGCAATGTGCAAAACGATGTACGAAGACCTGTTGAAATAACAAATTAGTAGCAAAAGCGAACTGAGATCATAAAGTCGGAGCAGAGGTCAGGCAATTAAATTCTCATTATGACAAGAATATATAATATCCGACATTACTCGCGCAAACGTACAACCTGACATTCCTAAGCGTGGCAAAAATATGCATAAAAATATCTAATCTGTAACAGTGCGTGAAGGTATCTCATATTATTCGCATATTGTCGTTATAATATTCATAATAATAAATTTAAGATTAAATATATGTATATATATAATAATATATAAATTTATGTGTATACGTATGTTTGTGTAATATAAACCTACATATCACATAATAATAAATATCACAAATAATAAATATTTAATAGCAAATTTTATTATACATTTTGTAATAAAAATTACGAATATATTTTATTAACGTTTGTTTTAGTTCTAATATTCTTAATTTTGTGAAATGGTTTTCAGTAGCGAGTATTACAGAAACAAATAGAATTTTGGAAATAGTTTAGACTTAAATTTATCAAAAATTGTTAATGCTAAGTGTATGTATAATATGGCTCCAAATTAAGCTTGAACTAGCGATAATAAATGTACTATTTATTATTTAATTTATAAAAATATAAAATTATACATTATAAAAAAATATTTAATAATTTGATAAATACAAAAATATAAAATTTATAACTATTCGCATGTTGTTATATCAATAAGATAACATTCTCTTTACTAATTCTTAAAAAAATTTTTTTCTGTATTTTATAAAATTAAAAATTCTTTTATATAAAAAAAAATTCTATATAAAAAGTCCTGAAATATTTAAAAGAATTATTGCGAGATTTTTATATAAGTAGTATAAGAGTGTAATTTAAAACAATATTGATATCTTTGGCATAGAAGATGAATTATGTGTGCAGAAGGGAAAGAAAAAGTCGATTGTTTCTTTACGAAAACATTTACAAAATTGATTTATTTCGTGAATTCAAGGTACTACACGCGACGAGAGAAGCGTCTTTGGAACAGACGCTCGCCGTGATGGATTTTGCGCTGCTGGGAAAAGGGTTATGGAGCGGAGAGGTGTGTATATGTGACTTTTGAGGAGAAATTCATCTAGTAATAGCCTCCCTTAACATAGGATATGGCAGGGGGAACCGTTTCTTTGACGACGACTGGATGCGGGACCGCGACTGGAACGGCGTGAGAGATATGGACTGGAACCGGATGGGGGACAGCGACCTAAAATCAACAAAATATCAATATTAATAAAAATATTAAATAATTAATAGATATTAATATGAGTACAGACAATATAATTGTTGATCGCTTAAAATAATTAATTACTTATTATTACAAATTTATTATTATTATATAGTTTAAAAACCAAACACACAGTACTTAATAGATTAAATAATTGTGGCTAATATGTCCGCGTTAATTATATCAATCAAGTATATTTCAATTGTCAATTGCAATAATCGGTTAATAATTTCAAGTTTAATTTAAATTTAGTTACAATAAGCTGAAAATCATGTCCAATCAGCGATCGATTTCTTCTTTCTTGCATGCATTTATTTACAATAATCGCGTAACGCGCAGATATAAATAAAATCATAATTCTTATTGCGATATATGGAATAAGGATATCAATTAATTAACACTGGTTAATTGGAAATTACTTATACTGAAAACTGAGAGCACTCAACGAAACTGTTAATAATCGTATCTCGATTTCTACTTGTTGCGCTTACAGACAGGTAAAGAATTATAATGAGACAATACAGGATTATAACGAGTTAAATACATCAAAGATGAAATAATTAAAATTTATCAGAAATTATGTTAAAGTACAAAGAGACGATTTCTTCATCTAGAAATCACAATATAAATCTTGATATTTTTTGTCAGGTTTTTAACTTTTGTCAGATTTTTGTTCATCGCGTCTAATTAATGTATGTTCTAATTCGTAAAAATTCAAAAATTATAAAAGTGTCACGGCTAATAGGAAATTAGAATTTGTATATATATTTGTGTAACTATTTGTTATTATAACTTACCTTGACGGGGTATGGGGCAGGTACGGGCACTGGCACCTTAACGGGGACCGGGACAGGCTTCTCTACGGGAACCGTGATTGTCTGGGTCTTAACAACGGGGTACGGCGCTGGCACCGGAACAGCAACTGGGACTGGCTTGGGAACTTCAACTGGAACCTAAAGATAACAAAGAATTCAGATTCCATTATATGTCAAAACGAATGATAATATTTATTTGCTCTTTAGTTCTCTTTGTTAAAATGTTTAATATAATACTTTACAACTATTTCAATCACTTGGTACTTAATTAAAATTAAATAATAATTGAAATATTAATAAAAAATGTAAACACTCAATTAAGGTAAAGACTTTGATTAATTAACTCAATATTTATTTAGAATGGAACATTTAAAATATATTCTATTAAAATGTATATAAATTTTATTAATTTTATGTAATTTAAATTGTTTATATAATTTAAATTATCAAAGTTATGTGCAAGATTATTATTATTTGTTGTGGTACCATATCCAAACTGATCAATTCATACCTTGACAGGGTAGGGACGATCGACGGGAACTGGATGCGGAACCGCGACGGGAACAGCGACGGTCTTCTCTTTGACAGCGACGGCAATGCCATGGCCTCCGTCGTATCCACCATATCCACCATATCCACCATATCCACCATATCCACCATATCCACCAGACCAACCGCCAAGTCCATAGTCACCCAAGCCGATTAGGCCACGCTTCTGGACCGTCTTCTCTTCGGCAGCGAACGCCGCAGAGATCAGTACTAGGCAGATCTGCAAAATCAAAAAAGAAAAAAAATGTCATTTAAAAATCTATAAAGATCTGTGAATCGATTAGTTAAGAAATCTATAAAAATTAATATTAACAAATACAAAGACAATTGTCAAATAACGGATAATTATTAAAAATTGTCGTAATGAATTTTTCAAAATCAAGAACATTAAAAGACTTTTTAGTGAAAATTTAAATGTATACATATCTGTAAAAATAACTATTACTGGGATATTTGGCTAATCTAGTTTTAATTAGAGTTATTAAAATTTATAAACTCGAGAGAATTATATACTTGAGACATGTGGAATAAAGCGCAAAATGATCAATTATAAGTGTAGATTAATAAAAAAAAACTATTAAGTGTAATTAATGATGATAATCTTTATAACTCTAATTTAATTATTTTTTAAAACAAATAACTGTTAACGAATCAATTGATATCTGCAAAACAATATTAACAAATCTTATAGAACTGACAATTATCACAATTGAGATATTGATCCAAAATTTGAAGGATTTAAGGATCTTCACACGCAAATTAAACTTCGCACAAATAATAGATTTTTCCAATTTTGATGTAAGGCTTTCCAATTTTGCAAATGAACACCATGATAAAGCGCGATAAGCAAAGAAAAATTAGATTTGCACGACGATTCCTAAACTTCAATCTGATTAAGCATTATGTCCGAACAAAAATGTTCTCAGCACTGCTTCTTTAACTTTGCTCGGAGATGTGACAGCACGTACCAAGGCCCTCATGTTGAACAATACTTTGGCGTGATACTCGCGCGTGAGTAAAATAGATCGGTTTCTGTCGTTGTCTGGCTGGAAAACCACCCTTTATATAGGGAATTGACTTTCATTTCGCGCACCCTGCGCCCCGCCATTGGCGAGGGAAGCCAACGGCCGGTCTATCGCCACACCTACCCAGAGTCTAACACTATTTACCTACGATATACTGCACACAGATGTACGTATGTTATAACACATAACGGTGCAACGGTTGTATAACACGTTAAATGTGCGCAAGCTGCCGTTGGTAAATGGAGCATACACTTAGCCACCACTTTATGTAGATATGCGTGCATATGTGAGTGCATTTCGATGCCACAACCTTAACGAGACCATTTTTCCACCTGCCAAGAGATCTACCTTAGCCATGATGTCACATGCGTCATTGAAAAATTGCAGGATCTTGTTAGCGCTCGGCATTACAACAGTCCTTTTTCTCGCGGTCATTTCATTCAAGTCTTTCGTTACGAAATCAAAATTAGATTATCAATCTCATACATATCTATATAATCAATTAGACTGTTTAGATTGTTATTTCTGAAATTGCACATTATAAAATATATTTTTAAACATATATTGTACATTGTATTTTGAAATTACCGGATATCTTTTTTACTGTAAACTCTTTAGAAAATTGAATGTGGAATTTTTCCTCGACAAAAATCGAAGTTGAAGATGTACCTGTAGTTTTAATTATTTTTTTTTTTAAGCTTAACTGAGGTGTATAATAATGCGATTAAATTAAAAATTGAAGACAAAGGATTTCTAGCGCATAAAATTTTAGAAGAAAAACAGATATCAAATAAATTATGTATAATAACAAAATATATTCTTTAGCTAATTTGAAATGTCAGTTTGCCTTAACAAAATTTGCAATATGATTTAATAAATAGTAAAATCTATAAAATGTGTATTAAATAAAATATGTTTAAATATATGTATATATATTTAGAGTGGCAATTCTATATTGTTAATTTACTAGTTTAACACTGGATTTAGTGTTTACGGTTAATGGCAAAATAGTTCAAAAGGACTCGCTTTTATGCATGTTCCATACATATGTATTACATATAAAATAATAATAAAAATAACGATTATTTGGCTCGTAGCTCTTATTGTTGATTAATGTTTATTTATTTTTATTGAGTCATAATATTATTATTTTATTTAATAACGATTATATTTATTATAGTTACCCAAAAAATGTAATTGCATTACCATTAATGTAATAAATAAGAAAGTAATTATTCAATAACCTATTTGTTATTGAAAGAAAGTAATTATAATGATAACGTTACAAATAAAGCGTTACGTCCCAACATATATGTATATATTGCACATATTTAATTCTAATTTCTCTATTACGAAATATCTTTTTTATAATGCAGTGCGATCATGTACAGATACGAAGCAACGAATTTCTAACGTAATGCACGCATAGCACAGTATTAATTGTAACATGTGAATTTATTCTCGCTCGTGTCCGGCGGCTATCGGTTAGTGCAAGATTGCTTAATACTTCATTATGAGAGATAAAACAGTTAGTTCACCGCGCTAATATAAATCATATGTTGAGAGGAACGTAGTGTCTTCTATTGCGGTGCACTATTATTACGTTACGCGCCTATCATACGAAGTGCAAGTTGTCCGCAAGATAGTAATTCTGCAGGTATTATCGTTATTATTATCTGCGAGATTGATATGTTGGTTTTATGCCTGTAAAAATGACCATTAACAGCGTGAAGCACTGGCTAATTGATCTATATTATGGCGATTTTTTTTTCATCTCTGCTTGCCGATTGATTTATAAGCAATGAGAAATTAATTGTTAATTTGCTCTCACGTCCTTCGTAAGTTACATTGGACACTTCTCATCTACGTTTCAACACGAGAATTTTATTTATTATTTGTGAAAGAATGTTGAAGAAATTACCTTTCTTGAGAAATTAATTGTTAATTTGCTCTCACGTCCTTCGTAAGTTACATTGGACACTTCTCATCAGGGAATGGAAAGTTACTTTTTAAAAGTAACAAGTTACAGTTACTCGTTACCGAGTAGATACCTTTAAGAAATAAAAAAGAAAATTATATCTTTGAATGATCACATAAATATTTATAAAATTTTTATATTTTAATAAATGCAGTTAATAATATAGATTTATCAACTTTAAAATCAATATCTTATTTAAGAATTTTATTTTAATCGTCTTTTAATTTTTTTATCGATATTAAATTTGCGATAAATTGTACAATAAGAAGCTATATTGTTTTAGTCACAAAATAGCAGTAGTTAACTGTTTAAATCATGACATTGTGGCAAATAACACGTAACATTTCTAAACTGACATAAAGCGATTAAGCTTGTCACATTGGCACGCAGAATGGGCACCCTATCGTTTCACTACGCCCAAACAAACGTGTTTCCTGGTTTAATGTTCATTTATCTCTCTTAGAGTCCAAATACCATAAGAAGTTACTTGTATATTTTACGAGCGGCAGTTTCAGTTCTCGGATATTGTTAGCGACGTTTTACTACTTATTGCTCTTTATATAATTTTTAGAATAATTTAATATTAATTATTTTCTTAACTTGTTTTTTAATTTTTAATCATTATTCATTAATTTCCGAAATGTCTAATTTTTTTAGAGATTTTTATTAACTGTGTTGTTACTGTAGTATTATGAATTAAAGAACTTTGCACTAATCTTATAGAAAAGTGATTTGGATTTAATTGGACTGAAAAATATCTTTAACTACAGAGTACAACAGTTTGTTTTTAATTATAGTTTATACGTACGTGATAGTAAAGTAGTACAATTTCGAACATAATACAATTCTGAACGAAATAAAATTTGAATTCAATTTTTTAAGTTCGAATTTGATCTTTTGTGTTTAGTATCCTTTCAATATTTTCACATGAAATTAGATTCATATATCTTAATGTCTGTGTGTGTGCGCGCGCGCGCGCGTGCGTATAGGGGTGGTGTATATATATATATATATATATATATATATCAGTATATCATCAGTTAATCCACGATTGTAATTGTTCAAATGATTAATGGTCTTAATTAGACAACACGCGTCGACATACGGAAGAACATATATAACAGTTTCGTTCATTTTGAAAAGTTATTTTTGATATTTAGTTTTGTATACATAAATTCGAAATACTTAATAATATAGCATGCGTCTGTACTTAAAATATAATATTAGTTTGAGTATCAATGAATAAAATCTCTGTTATTTTATGAAGTAAATGTTGTATTGAAAATAGGAATATTCAAACCTGTTGCAAAATAAAGTGGTGATTAAGAACTTCGAAGTGAGAGGCAAGGATTGACGGAAGTTCATTACCTTGCAAGCATAAGATACTTACCAGGACACCCATATAATTAAACTTTATTGTCACTCATATAATTAAACGTCAATAAATTTAATATAAGTTATTTTTTCACCATAACATCCGTCCTCCGACTATCTGAAATAATTATATCTTGCTATTTCTTGCCCAAACCAAGGTCTCAGCTATTAATCTGCACGTATTATTACGTGATAACGGAATGATGATTATAGGGATATTTAACACTATTCGGAAAAAGTTCGATTTTGCCGTTTCCTGCGATTACTTAGCGCGAGCTTGTAATCGCACACCAGATCTGCTCACCAGATCTTTAAATACGAGCAATCTGTAATGGAATGTAGCGGTCACACGATCACTTGCTTGTTTGATTTGGGTATCTTTGATCAAGGCGCAGTTAATTTGCTAATCTAATGGCGCATGTTTTGATTGATCTCATTATCCGGTGTTTATCTTAGTATTGATATTGATTAATCTATAATATCGTAGTTACGTAACTGAATTGTCTATCAAGATGTATCTGTATACATTCGATCTATCGTAACATTATCATATTTTTAAATAAAATAAAAGAGTTTTATTATATATGTTATTATCTCATAAATTTAATTATTATTATAATTATTATGATTAATTAAAACATTATTATTTTATTATTATTTGTTATTCTTTGTTAAAAAATCGAGACATTTTTACGATTTTGAAAATAAAAGGATTTCATTATGTGTGTTATTATCTTTTAAATTTAATTATTATTATTTGTTATTATGTTTAATTAAAAAATAATTTTAGAACTATCTAAAAAAATTAATAAAAATTATTGTTTATTGTTTGCTATTTTGTTACAAGTTTTGTATTAACGTTCGCTGTAATATACAAAATATTGATATAAACATCAAGACAATCACTGGTATGGATAAGTTGTCGTCATTGCACTGTTACTTACATATTATTATATTTTACATCAAATAAAGGTAACGATAAGTATACATAAGTAGCGATTTATATACTTATCGTTAAGTAAATGATTAGTTTCTTTACTGAAAAGTAAATAGAAGTAAAAACTAGCATGTTTTGCAAAAAGTAAGTAATAAAGAATCCGTTATAGCATCAACTTAAACTTTCAAGGATATTTCGATACTTGAAGATATTGTACTTTCATAAACTTTGTATTATTCATGAAATGTTTTATTTAAATACAAATTATTATGTTTATTGTCAGACGAATTGCGCTATTATTTCGTTCTATATAGTACGTATATTTTTTGTAGTTTTAATCTTAGAATAAAATAATAAAAATGAGGTTTATAATAATAAACTATATTACATTAAAATTATTTAATAAATTTAAATTCATATCGGATTCGCAATAATTTGGGCGGTTTGAGAGGAAAACCATAGATAGAAACTGCCATGGATGTAAAAATACGTTGACGTCATTTCTTGAGGAAAGCGGAAAGGCGACTTAAGCCAGTTCTATTCATAGAGTTTAATATAAAAAAAAATTATTATTTTTTAGAAAGCAAAATTTTTATTTGCATTGTAAAAATGATAGAATAGAATATAAAAATAGAAATAAAAAGTATATATATCAGAAAGAGACACTTATATTAGATATAAGATTGTACAATTATACTTATATAGGTATAAAATGTAATGAGATAATAAATAAAAAAGATAACG